AGTGGTTAACCCATTTTAGGGTAAGAGAAACATTTAATAATAATTATGTCGGCAAAAGGGTATTAAGATAAATTACAACTTGTATAGGAGGAAAATTCTGAAGGGACTTATTATTTGGGAATAATAATACCCGTGTTAGTTTATAATACCTATATATTATAGTTGACAAATTAATTTATGAACAAAAGAATTAATTATTTTGACTGCTTAGAATACATATTTGTTCTCACTCAAATGTTTATTTTGTTTACAAAATGCAGCCTAATATTCCTTTTTTAGAGATCTCATCCTATATATTATAGTTGACAAATTAATTTATGAACAAAATAATTAATTATTTTGACTGCGTAGAATACATATTTGTTGTCACTCAAATGTTTATTTTATTTACAAAATGCAGACTAATATTCCTTTGCTCCTCCTCTTTCCTCCGAGGTCTCATATAAGACACTTAAGCCCAGACAGACATTGAATGTACGTCTTTACCCGATTAAGCCAAAGTTAAAAGATTTAAGCCCGTAGTATTAAACATTATCGATAACAAATCGGCTCAGTTTTCATTAACAACATCGACGTTCTTATCAAAAGGGTACTTACTCACCGAGCGAGATGTAAAACCTTTGATCGTTAAATTAATGGTACCTACAGTTTGTTTAATAAAAGCCTACAGTTAAGTGAAGTAGGAGAAATTTACCTAAAAGGGTTAATTTGTATCTTACGCAATAACTATGTTTTATATTGCTATACCATGCTAAACTGGGAGCGCTTGGAACTTTTATAAAATTTCCTTCAAGGCTGTTTCACAAGAATCTCTTATCTATTAGACAAGTCCGTCCGTCTGTCTGTGGTGCTGTTTCAGCGGCCAAACCGTAAGAGATAGATAAAGAGAATATTTAAGTTATAAGTTAAGAATAGTCTGATAAGACTACAAACCGGATTTGAGTAACGTAGCACTTCCGGTTTTCGAGAAATCAGGTTTTGGTGAACATTTGGTTCACTGGTTTGCTAGTAGATAGATAATGCGTTTTTTTTTTCTTCAACATACATAAGAATTTCAGAGTAACATTATAAAAAAAAAGATACAAGAAATCAGCCATGATTAGGGTTGCCACCCGTACTTTAATTAATATACAGTATTGTACGTTATTTCTGGTAATTGTACTCTATACTTTATGCCAACAATAAACTACGCGTAAATACTTTATTTAATGTGATTTGATTACTTGGGGATAAATTTTACATAAATATACAAAAAGAGGATAGGAAGATTTTTTGCGTAAAACGGAACAATAGTATGTATAATATGTCGCCCTTAGCTGATTCTTGCAACATTCTCGCGGCTGTATGACTTTGTACAATGGCCTTCCCCATTGCGGATAAGAAATACAGATTTTTAGTAGCCACAAATTATTTATTAAAAGTTGCTATAAGCAGCGTAAAATATATTTTTAAGCTTACCTACTAATAAAGTGGAATAAAAAGTACTTTATTTCGGATACAATGTGTTTTTTTTCTACCTTTAATATCCGATGTACTTTATTTGGACATAAAAAAGGTGGCAACTCTAACCATGATGCCCCTATTGTATGCTGCAGAAAGCAGAAAAGGCCAAGGCTCGGCTAAACATTTGCCAGTTTTAAGGTAAAACTACGATTTTCAGCCATCACCCTTTTGAGTAAGTAGATGAGCTTAATTAATAAAAATTTAAAAAATGTTGCAAAGAGAAAAGAAAAAACGGCCATGACAATGTAGTGGAGATAAGCAGAGATTAACTACATTATGGAGTCCAATACTAAAGTGATTGTTGGTGAGATAAAATGAGATATCATACATACCTATATATATAATAACTATAATTACATCATGAATTATATATAAATAAATAATAAATAAATATTTCCAACACTCCCACCAATTAGCCTAGCCCCAAAGTAAGCACTGTAAGGCTTGTGTTATGGGATTCTAGGGTGACGGATAGAATACATATACAGTACATATATAAGTGTATCTATATATAAATACATATTAAACATCCATGACTGGAGTAGAAATGCTCGTATTCATCAGACAAACATCTGCCCCCACCGGGATTAGAACCCGGGACCTCTCGAGTCAGCGACACCATGAAACCCGGCGTACAAACCACTCGCCCACGGAGGTCGTCAAAAAACAATTTCGTGTCTCCTGTTTTCCCAGCACGAATTTAAACTATTCTGTTGAAATAATTTTTAATTTGAATGAAATATTTTGAGTGCAGGTAGTTTAAAGAAAATTTACAATTTGACTCATTGTCCAGGTTTTTTTTCCAATATATTCATTTCCTGACGGATTTGCTCAAGCTCACCTATAACAGCTTTTATTTGTAAAGACAACTTCAATAATATAAATGAGTTTTAGAAGTTTCTAGCGAAAATGTAGCAATGCTAAAACTTTTATTTTGCAGTCAATAATTTTCTTTGCCTATAAACGTTTACCAGGGAAATTCGTAAGTAGGTACGTACGATTACGAATGTACTTAATATATGTCATTAATATGTACGAATTTCCCTTAATAAAATATAACAAAAATGTGAAACATATTGAGAAAAGCTGAAAGTAAGAAAAATAAACTTTAAGGAAAATGTGTGAGTACCTACTTTCTTTGTAACGCCCCGCTCTCGTCTCGTGCAACTGCAGTAAATCACAAAGTCCTACAACTTTTTTGAAATTATTAGAAACTTTTGGTTACAGACGTAAGTACTACAGAGACTTGGTATAAATTATTGGATATAATGTATTCTAATTTCAAAAGATACCTAACTAAGAGGTTGTTATGATAAAAATATGTAATATGGGATTTTATAATGAGAACTCTGGAAATTAAAAAAGATGGTGTCACTAAAACTGACTAAACTTATATGGAACATGCTTATACATGTATTAAGTATGTACCTATTAATGTACCTAGATGGTTTGGGCACTTTGAAAATAACGGATGAAAGAAGATTGACAATAAAAATTATAATTAAAGCAAATGTAACAGGTTCTAAACAGCCTATTCATTTGCTTTAAGTATAAATTTCTTGTAGGTGTGTAGTTATAATAGAAGTTTTTCAGTATTAAAAATAAAGCACCTACCCGTTTTCTGTCAGATAAAATAGAAAAAAATATTGATCATCTAAAAAATTATAAACTGTACACACGGACTTACATTCTGTTTTTATTATTATTTCCCTTCTGTTTTTTTTTAGCTTTATGTATAGGTCAGCTTATAGTGTATATAAATAAATAATATTAGTTATACATTATTTATTCCTTCTACTAAAAAATTTAATTATTAAATTATACTAAAGGTTAGTTCTGATGTCGGTTAAGACAAAATAATATTACATAATCCCATATCCCTAAGGTTCCCTATGAATTGCGTTCCGATCATGAGAAAGAAACTTGTGAGTTTGTGACAGACAGAAAGAAGAGACATACCTACTATACAAATAGGATAAAGTAGCGATTGATGAATGTAGAGATAGCGAGAATGCTGCGTCTGGATCGTAACAAGTGACAATCAGTTTATTCTCTCTCGTTCGCCTTGATAAAGAGACGATATATACCTATACCCATTTAGTTAGTTTTTCCTATAATCAAGTCGTAAAAGCATAAGCATCCGTGATATTAAAATCAGTACCTTTAGCACGAACCAATAACGAATTCGAATAGTTTGTGAGTGCGAAATGTCACTGTCAAATGTGTACTGATTTTTAGTCTCGCTACGTCCGTTAAAGCGCTGCTGCAGTGCGAAATGTCATTGTCCAATTTTGTATTGAAACTTGAACAACAGCGACATAACGGACGTAACGAGAACTAAAAATAACTACATATTTGACGTATAAAACAGATCGAATTCAACTATTTTAATTCAATAACCGAACGCTCAATAAAAGTCTTTCGAAGGTAGCTCGACAAATTAAATAAAAGTTTGATTCTGACGACGTAGCCTGTAAAGGCTACGAAACGTCAATAAATAAATAAAGTTTCGTGCATTAACCCGTAAAAACTAGTTTTATTTAATGAGTGATGTGCGTGAAAACCTAAGAAACAAATATATTTTAATTTGATTATGGTTCGTGCTTACTGGTTTTTATAACGCGCAACTGTCAATCTCTGACAAACGTATTGCATACTTTGACAGCTAAACGTGATTAATTTGTCGTGTGAAATGTTATTGTGTATATGGCACTGCATATGGTTTACTAGTATTTGCTAATTGTGAATTTAACAGCAGGCTCAGGCATCACGCTTTATATTTAAGGAATGAAAAGGAGAGCTTTTCATACCCTAAGTGATAAGGCTATGTTGCTGGCATGAACAAATAGCAGTAGTTATTTATATGAGAGTAATATATAAAACTCTGTCTATGATGCTTTTTTGAGTTAAATTTTACTCAATTGGGTAATAAAATATGTTCGATGATGTTAAAAAAAAAGAAAAACAATAATGGAATATCAAATTATTTCCCTTTCGAAACACAGTTCCGACTCCACAATTTCGTAAACATTGAATTTCAAAATTAATAACGTTCATTCGGCATTGGAATCTTTTTATATTTTAAATATCTGATCCGCTTAAATTTCACCTAGAACAACTTTGTTCAATCGTCTTAAAGCAATATAAAAGTTGTAACATAAAACGGGCGAGCCCTCTTTCAAGAAAATTTAAATACATTTCTTAGTATTGTTTGGAGCAATTTCGAACTTATTCAGACTTAGCTTCAATGACGTATTTTAAATACCTAACTTTAAATAATATCGAAGAAGTACGTGAAAAGTCTTGATAACATATTAATTTGAAATAATGTCATTACTTCTAATAGTTTCGAGATTAAAATATATCTTCTTTGATTTAAATAGTTTTACTTACTTAGGTCAAACTTAAACGTTGTTATTTCCTTACGTAAATAATGTTAATATAAGCAAGTTAATCTCATGAGATTCAAAATACTGAAACATTCCTGTGTCACTTACCACAAATCTCGCAGAATTGAGCAATCCAATCCCATATACAGTTATCATTATCACACCCATATCCACTTGGCATCACCCTTATCAAAATTATCACAAAACAAAACACGAAAAGTCAATATCTACATGGCACTTAGTAATTGTAACAACTTGCACATCATAAGCGGAACGGAACGTAGATTCGTGAATCCTGAACGAATTCGAAGGAAATTCCTTTTACAAAAGTTATGTCAGCGAAACTTTTTTTGTGTACTTTTTTGTTTTTATTATATTTTTTTATCTGGCTAATAGAGGCTGTGTATCGCTTGCATTCAGCCAGCACGCCTGCGCGGCCCTCCCGACATTTTGCGACTGAGGGAGCAATGGATTCGTTCCGTCTGCAAAGTCCATACTTCGTCTGTACCTGTTACATTTTCGAGGATTTGCGCGCGTGCGTACACGGACCGCCTGCGTACGGAACCGTCCTCCATCAATTTTGGGGCAAAGACAACACGACAGCGGCAAAATTTAGAACTAAATTTTAGCAAACGATTCCGGTTAAAATAGCGTGGAGGTGGCGCCATCGCATTCCGTTAAAAGTACTTTAGCACTCCTGTATTAGGTTTGCATAATCCGTAACGATTCGTATGCCGCGTTTGAGGCATTGGGGCCTTACATTTCTATGATTCTGCAAATGGAATTTCATGCTACGAACTATTCGTCATCTCAATATTCATGATGCGAATGTTAAGCATCGAAGCTATGTAATAACTTAGTATACCGTTCAAAACATAAGCTGAAAAGAGATTACTTTTTAAACTTATTACTCAGCAATCGACGTCACTTAATGAACTATTTATTATAGCTCTTAATACTTTATGATAATGTTACTAGTTATATATACCCCCACCGGACGATCGAGGCGATCCGTCCGGTGTTGGAGGAGTGGGTAGGGCGCCAGCGGGGCAGCCTCACCTTCCGCCTGGTGCAGGACATAGGTGCTTCGGTCACTACCTGCACCGTGTTGCTCGTCGGAAGGAGTCGCCGCGGTGTCATCACTGCGCCTCTCCCGACGACACGGCCGACCACACGCTAATCTTGTGCCCGGCGCGGCCTGGCGAAACGAGCTCCGCACTCTGATTACGGCGCTCGGCAGTAGAGACCTCTCGTTGTTAAGCATGGTTAGAGCTATGCTTGGTAGCGAGAGGGCCTGGAAGGCTGCCGCCTCCTTCTGCGAATAGGTGATGACACAGAAGGAGGCCGCGGAGACAGAGCGGGAGGAGGACCCTCCGACGTAGACGGGTGGGCCGAAGAAGGCAGGCAGCCGTGACTGCCGGTCTTCGACGACTCTAAGGTGGTCTAGGCGAAGCTTGGCCGCCGCGTGCCCTAGGTGCCATTCGGCATAGGCCACCCCATCTGGGCATTGCCTAATACCCTAGCGCAATCCCCCATTAGCGTGTCGCCCGGTCCACTCGTTGGGCCGGGCCGGCCCGGGGGCGTCCCGGTGAAATGGCGCTCACAGAGGTTCACCGATCCCGAGACGCTCCCACATGGGCGTAGGAGGGTACCGGTGAGTTTTAGTGGGTAGGACCGGCGCTGTATCCCGCGGCACACGGTACGGTCCGTCAAGGGATTTCTCAAAGTCAAAAAAAAAAGTTATATATACCAAATTATTAAGTAGGTACTTCATCAAAAAGTCTCATAATAGTTAAGTATTGCTAAGGCCTTCCTTACGTACAAAATATTTTTAAAAAGGATGTCATACAAACATTTATGGCTTGCCTAATGGCAATCGGCCACCATAGCCTGTAGACGCTTGTGATACCAAAAATATTACTACCCAATCCCCTAGCCCGTGGAGCTCCGAACCTTACTCACCGACAGAAACATAACACCAAAAAGTATTCTTTTACTGTGTGTGTGTACTTTTTTTGTAAGTTTGAGGTTACTTCTACAGACAATGATGTTCTTTTATGTGAGCTGGCATATATAAAAGTAGAAAAAGACTTTGTGAACTTTACGCAGAACGAAATTATAACACTAGTGCAGATTTCAAACAGTATGTACAGAGTTACACAAAATTATTTAAAAAAGTTTGTAGAATAGCCTTCTACAATAAAGTTCCTAGGAATATCCAAAAATTAAGCGTCAGTAAATTTAAAACTACCATTAGAAGAGTTCTTATTAATAAAGCCCATTATTGAAGTGTCTGATTATATTTCAGACAAAAATGCTTGGGTTTAAACTGTTCCAAAAGTTCCGCCAGGCTTTTTCTATAATTATAATGAAGATGAAATGATTTTGTATTGACACCGTAGCAATATTTTTTTTGTAAATATTGTTACATATTTATTTAACGCTGTGAAGTTTTTATCGCCAGTTCAGCTAAAAAAATGTCCTTAACTGGTGGTAGGGGGAAAAATATGGACGATTCAAAAGAGTTGTATTTTGCATCCAATTTGAATAAAGATATTTTGAATTTTAGACGGGCGCTCGAATTCGAGCGGAAAGTCCGCTATGCCCTACCTAACCTGCTAAGATTTGAGAAGAGCGCCCGAATTGTTCAAATATATGACATAATTTAATTTCATCATCATCATCAGCCTTTTATTGTTCCCACTGCTGGGGCACAGGCATTCCCTATGAATGGAATAGGGAGATTGTGCCATGACCCACCACGCGGGCCCACTGCAGATTGGCGGCAGGAACGCAGCCGAACGCGCTCACCACTTGCGCCATCAAACTCCTCATATTTAATTTAGTATGTTATTAATAGAGTTTTACAAAAGTAAACCTTAAGTTAGGAGTATGTAATTATCTTTTAAGTGAAAAGTTTCAAAAGTGTCAGGAGTTTCATTTAGGCATCATATTTCACCTCGCGGGCCATGCATGAATTGATGGGAGCTACCTACTTGCTACTATGTATATATATATATATATATATATATAAATTAGAACAGGAATCCACTATCCTCGTTACACAATAGTTTAGTTGTAAATGTACCTACTTTAATTTCACTATAGTAAGGTAGTGGTTGCTTTTTCAGACGGGTGGTAAATACAAACAAAAATTAGAACAGTAAATCGCCTATCCACGTTCTACAATAGTTTTGTTGTACATGTACCTACTGCTATTTCACTGTAGTAAGGTAGAGGTTGCTTTTCCTGACGGGTGCTATCTACAAACAAAAATTAAAGCAGAAAATCCGCTATTCTCGTTATACAATAGTTTTATTATAAATGTACCTACTGTAAATTCACTGTAGTAAGGTAGAGGTTGCTTTTTCAGACGGGTGCTATCTACAAATAAAAATTAAAGCAGAGAATCCGCTATCCTCGTTACACAATAGTTTTGTTATAAATGTACCTACTGTTATTTCACTGTAGTAAGGTAAAGGTTGCTTTTTCAGACGGATGCTACCTACAAACAAAAATTAGAACAGGAATCCACTATACTCTTTACACAATAGTTTAGTTGTAAATCTATTGTAATTTCACTATAGTAAGGTAGTGGTTGCTTTTTCAGACGGGTGGTAAATACAAACAAAAATTAGAGCAGAAAATCCGCTATCCTCTGTACGCAATAGTTTTGTTGAATTGTACCTACTGTAATTTCGCTGTAGTAAGGTAAAGGTTGCTTTTTCAGACGGATGCTACCTACAAACAAAAATTAGAACAGGAATCCACTATACTTGTTACACAATAGTTTAGTTGTAAATATACCTAATACCTACTGTAATTTCACTGTAGTAAAGTAGAGACTGCTTTTTCAGACGAGTGCTATCTACAAACAAAAAATTGAGTTGAAAATCCTCGTTACACAATAGTTTTGTTATACATGTTCCTACTGTAATTTCACTGTAGTAAGGTAAAGGTTGCTTTTTCGGACGGACGGTTTGTAGGTAGCACAAACAAAAATTAGAACAGGAATCCACTATACTCGTTACACAATAGTTTAGTTGTAAATGGTATATTTTACTGTAGTAATGTAGGGGTTTCATTTTCAGTCTTGTGCTATCTACAAATAAAAATTAGAGCAGTGAGTCTGCAATCCTCGTTACACAACAGTTTTGTTATTAATACAATACTTTTGTTATAAATGTACCTACTGTCAGTTTACTATAGTAGTATAGAGGTTACCTTTTTACAAAATCAGCTATCCTTGTTACACAATAGTTTAGAACCTACTTAGTAGAACTTAACAAACTTTCCAAAGCATCTGGGTAGAAATCTCTACCATTTGACTTTAAGGCCTTGTTGTGCTTCTATCGGAAATATAAGTAGTAGGGGCTTTTTAGGGCTTTGTAATTACGATAAACCCGTAAAACAGAATCGGTAATGGAATGCATTACTATTTCTTTAAATTCCTTTTACAACAAAACCTTTATGTTTTGTGCTTCTATCGGCATATAAGTAATATTTTCAGAGCTCAGCGATTTCTATGTACCCGTATGAAAAAAATATGGTAATGGATTGAAGTACTAATATTCCTTCATAATATTATTTAATACTGTACGTAACAAAGGTACTCGCTTCGCATACTGCCTCCATTGTTAACAGTGCGGGAGCAGGGCCGAACTGATGAGATCACAGAACATGTTCTGTGGATCAAATGATAGATGTATATGTAAAAAAGAAATATTTGTGTCTATATTTCCATAGATTTTTTTTTATTTGCTCCCGAAAAGTTGACACTGGTGTTGTTTTCGGCATAATTATTTTAATTTCAAACTAAATTTAAGATCAGTCTCTCCTTATCATTATGTATAGGGAATGAGAAGGATACACTGTTGTCAAATTTAAATTTAGGTTAAGAGAATCATGCCAGAATCGACACCACTATATTATATTATAGTTTATAGAAATAACGTATAAGTACCTACTAATTACGCTTAATGTTCCTGTGTCGATCGTTTTTAGGGTACCGGAAATCAAAAGAAAATACGGTAGCCATTGCAGGGTTATTTTGTTGTCCATTCGTCTGTCCGCCTGTTATGCGTGGAGGTAACAAGCTAAGATGTACTCAGTTCTACAATCCCTTGGGACAGTGACAAAAATCAAACTTCTAACTTAATGCAATCAAAAGCAAAGGCCTCTTATAGGTACTCTTTTTATGTATTTTAACCACCTTTTGACGCTCGCAAGAGAATCAAAACTTATGAGACGAGGTTCTGATTCGACTGACTCCCCTTTACCGAGAACAATTCAGTTTGTCCCGTACAAGAAATTTCAAATAACAGAAATAAAATTAATATTTTATCTTGGAACAGCTTCCGGGAAACTATTACCAATTTGTAAGGAACCCTCGGTGCCAGCCTGATACGCACACCGTCGTTACACACGAAAAAACAGTCGTTTTTTTATATTTCCATCATTCTACCCACCTTCATGCTCGAAAAGTCAAATTACTCTTTATTCCATTTCCGATTAATGACATTTCGATATAACTAATAATTGTGTTTCACCCACGCCTCGTGTCCGCC